CATCTGTACTTGTATACAAAAAAATTGGCAACAAATTACCTATATTGAAAATTTCAGGTATGTAAAGATAATTTTCTCTCGTTATTGGGTATCTGACTATCTGAGGGCAGAGTCATCACACACAACTCACAAACTAAATTTCTATCGTCTTTTCATGAAATTCAGGCAAATTCTGTGTCCAAATTCACCCAAAACTAATCTCTGACGTAGTGCGACGTTCGTTCTAGTACGTTTGAACAGTACACTTACTTTTTATCGATCGCTGTCTTGAAATCATATTTATATATTAACAATATTTTTTAATGCATAATTTACTCTTTACGAATAATTACGGCCATGTTACATTGCAAAGTTTTTTTAGAACTAAGTTCATAGGACGTCGTAGTATCTCGAAGGTGGGTGGGGTGATGGGTGATGGGGGGGTGGGGGTGGGGGGGGGATGAGGGGAGTCGGGGTGGGTGCGACATCGTAACTTCTGGTGAATTTGCCACGATGGTCTAACTGACCTAATCTCATATTCATCTTATCATCATGGTGCCCTGCCAGAGTAAATTGTTATGCATGCATGCACTGCATGAACCAAATTATTACCATCCATAAAATAAAAATAAAATATATTGTTCATCTCTTTTCTTGAATTTAACAACCAATTCATGAAACTGTAATTACTCTAATATACTTACTGTAACTTTAATATACTTACATGAAATCGAATAATAAATATAAATAAATACAAATTTGATAAAATAAGACCAATAGAATGTAAACTATGAAACAGTACAGTTTAAGTTTAAACAGCAGATTAATTCATTTCATGATACAGGCAGGAAGCAGTTTCTTCTACATTTTTATGTTAAAATTTAACTTTTTGTCTGTCTTCATGATATAATTTGTCTTCATAATAGTTACTAATGACTCCATAATTTAATGTTAATAATAATAATAATAGCCTTTATTACTGATAACTTTCAAGTTTGCAAATTTTTCTAATTATACATATACTTTGCATTAACTGTGTTTCTATATAGAACTTGCAGACCTTAGACTTGACAGTTGAACATTATCGAGGCATATCTTATAAGAGGCTTGTCGAGTATACATGAGTTACAAACACACAAGACTTTAAATTTTTGGCTTTTAGATTTGTAGTAATATTTTAGCTGCACATCAATGAGACATTTACATTTCAAGTGACATTTTGTCACTGACAACCTGTTTTTGACTAATATTGACACATGCCTTCCCGGAACCTCTCCAATTACACTTGAACTTTATGGTATGGTATTAAAGTTCAAATTGACTTTTAAATATCATTATGAATTGTTTGTATGGGATTTTTCCCGGAACCTCTCCAGTAACATTTTGAACTTTATCATATGGTATTAAAGTACAAATTGACTTTTAAGTATCATTAAGAATAGTTTGTATGGGATTACAGAAAATTAGTGCTTACCAACACATTTACTGATTCATTTTTATATTATAGATTAATTAATTGGTTTGAATGTTAACAGTTTGTCATAATGTGACATAGTCCTCCAAGTGTCTCCATAGAATACAATCCTTTGCTCTTTGAATCCAACTTTTTCGTGCTGTCTTCCTAATATTGTCTTCTCATCTTTTAATTTGCCTGCGTCTGCTTCTTATGTATCCTCTTGGGTACCTCTCTATAATGTTTTTTATCTATTTATGTATTTTTTCCCTGATCACATGGCCTGTCCACCTCCATTTCATAGACTTAACAGTGGTTTCAACATTTTTAAATATTGTTTTTTCCTGTGTTGTTGTTAGATTGATTTTGTCTCTTATTTTAACACCAATAACACTTCTTTCTATTAAGTTTTCACATACTCTTAGTCTCTGCATATGTTTTTCTGTAGTACTCCAAGATATGGTCATTTTAAGTGTTAAATAAGCTGGGGCTACCATATATCTATAAAAAATAGAACTATCGAACGAATATCTACATAATATTATTCGGACGAATACCGAATACTTAAGTAATGTATTTTGTTGGGGATAGGAATATAGTATAGGGAGATAATTGGTAAAAAAAAAAAAAATTGATTCGTTACGTACCTATATATTCATCTTTTCATTTCTCTTATAGTCATTTATGTAGTCATCGATACATAATCATCTTCTATATTAGAAAAGTTAAGAGTTATTTTTATGCATTTGAATTATTTTCATAATCAAATTTAGAAGAGGAAGGTTATGGTGCAGAATGGGTTAGGAATTAGTTCATGTCTAAACATGTAGTGCCTTATAAATATACCGCGCAGAGCACTGCAGGCGCGCAGGCGGTGAGTATATTAGACTTAGTACAAACGAGCGAGAAACAATCACGTTTATACTAATGTTGGCGCTAAAATCCGGCCTGCTATTGCTTTTCGGAAGCAATAACAATCTTTTACACCTAGGTAGACTTTGTAAGTAGTCGTCTGTCTCACTACTACTAATACTTCCTAGCAGAAATCTGTGGTTAGGATGAAAACATGGTACGTGTTCCAACACCTGCACCATAATAGTTGTAATATATAGGGGGGACAGAGGATTGTTAGTAATGTGACTAGTAACCCCATTGCTAGTAATGGGGTTACTAGTAAGATTGACCTCCACGTGGTTCCCCCTGAAAACCATCGTTATAAATTAATGGTGAATTTACCACGGCGAACTAACCTGACCTCGTGGTCTCTTGTCATCCTCCTCTGGTGGTCTAGTTGGTGCTGTGTGAATTGTTCCGAGATTACTATTATTATTATGAAATATGGTGGTTCCATTTTTAAAGTCATTACGTAGGTAGGACTTTTATGGTCAAATCAGAACTTGTATCTTGTACTCAAAAATAAACATGATTATATCAAACTTCTAGAACATATACTTTATATCATAATTATAATTAGATTTAATCTTATAAACCTCATTTATGGTGGTATTTAAACTTATAAATCATATTAATTAATTAAAAATAAATTGTGGTGGTTATCTCACTCAAACTAGATGGCGTTGTAGTCACTGGCAGTAACAATTATTAATGTTAATAACTTCTTTGTTTTGCAGCTGGAGAATCATCATGAGTGACTATCTGTATGGAAGCGGTAACAACTTTAATGCAGAGTAAGTATTCTGGAATGATCATTATTATCATTTCTAATCTTTATGCTGAACATTACATTTTTATTGGATGGTGCACCCTCCATCTTCTCATTCGATACGTTCTTGACAGGACAGTCGTGATCATGTGTATATAGTGTAGTAAGAGGCTGATGTCATCCGCCGTACTACAGCTCCCCACTTGTCTCTACTGGCTGCCATTTTGGTACATTCGTGGAGTTGCTTTGACTCGGTCGGTGCATCGCACGGGTGATCGTCACCCACGTACGCCAGCATCTATTAAAAATGACCTCTTACATCTATTGTATTTTGAAATGCGTTGTCACGAAATTTAGAATCTCTGCCACCCTGTGTCAGACAATGTCACACTTTGTCGACTCCTTCACTGCCCCCTAATATGTGACATAATTTATCTATGACCCATACCCATATACATCTCTAGACAATAGTAATTAAAAAGAAATTGTTTGTTTATAGGTGGAGTTTACCAACCATGGAAGAATTTTTTGAAAATAATCTATTGTACAATGTAGGTTTACACTTTTTATTTTTAGCTTATAAATAATATTCTTATTTACGAATTGAATTATTTTCGTAAATATTGATTGGTGAGCATTTCATTCCATGTAGGTATAATGTCGTTAGCCGACACTGCCGACACGGCTAATGTACCTATGTACATACTATGTTATAGTTACTTTTTTCCATGCCTACTTTTTTTCTCCCGACGAAGATATTTCGTAACGCGTCCACACTATTTTGATACAGTTTTTTTTATTTAAATTTTTATGTGACAGATTATAGATTTTAGCTATAATCAAGTGATGTAACTTATATATTTTTCAGTGTAGATCACAATGATCTACTAATGAGTATTTCTCAATATATAGTTAATTATTGTAAACTGGGTATTTGTAAATAAAAAATAATATCTACAAACCATCAACCACATATTAAAGAGAAAGCTATTTGAGATATCGGTGCTAATGACAAGTAGGTACTTATTTTGTGTTATACTTGTAGAACCTTCTATATCTACAAGTAGGCTGGCGACAGTAAATCGCTAGCACACGACGCCCGTACTGCTAGTTGTTAGGTATTTATGTAAGTTGTTATTTAGTTGAAATTAGGCTGCGAAATTACAGGGTATTTGGGCTCACAAACTTTCGCGTTTATAATATTAAAATAAGTTTGTACTATTTTGGCTGTATTTTGTTACTTTGAAACAAATAAATTTCTCTTTTTTGTTCAAGACCAAGACACGTACTACAAAAAATTGCAATTATATAGATAATAGGATATGTCCTACTATTAATAAAATTGCAATTTTTATTTTATATAATTCTTTATACAATTCTATATTTGATACTGGAGAGACATAAGTTGCGAGCATTATTGATGGTAACCGCAAAGCGTATGTACCTAGTATGTACATATAGTAGGTACATGAACAGCATCACTTACATTGACTCGTTGTGTGACGCCCGTGGCTACACCTTCAACCTAAACACAGCTTACAAAAGCTGTAAGGCAGTTGGAATAGATGGGGAGAAGCCTCCACGTAGTGGACTTTATAGACAACAGTCTACCTCTATAAAACTAGAAATTATTAAATTAAAACCGCAACTAGGACTATGGTATAGCTTTGCACCGCATTTTTTGAAATAAAATTAATATATATGTAAGTCATGACAAAACTGAAAACGCGTAAACGTGTGAAGTAAGATGAATGAGAATGGACTTAAACTATAATGTTAACTATTCAGGCTCCTGTACCGAATGAACCTGTGTCAGGGGATCCTGTACCGAACGAACCAGTGTTAGCGGATCCTGTACCGAATGAACCTGTGTCAGGGGATCCTGTACCGAACGAACCAGTGGCAATGGATTCGTACTCAAACGAGGTGAGCTATGCTCCTACTCCTATTGATGTTAACTCGTCCAATTTTTTTATTAGATACCTATTTCATCACCAGTGTTTTGTCATTTTTTTTTACCAGTAGATAGATTAATATAATTTAATTTAAACGAGTTCGTCGATATTTTGGAAATGTATATAATTTGACTATTTTATTAAAATTTGTATATTATTTACATCTTATACACATACTTAATTTTGAAACGAATATACAGTAGTGCACACTCGCAAAAAAATATAAATATAAAAAAATAGTAAACATTTATTTATTAAAATGTACATATGCAGTAGTAATACTGCCAATATTGTAACTTCATTGTAGAGATGGTAAAATCTAACATTTTTTTCAATACGTTACAATTACGTACGTTATTAGTAAACTTATAAATGTCCAATAACACTATTATTTATTTAGATAAAAGTCCACGAGAGTGTAAACCGCCTTACGCTTTTTATTATTATTTTATTTATACATATTACTACTTACAGAATACCGTGGATTTTAATATCCAGCAGCAACCTTCCGGGTCCGGCCCAGAGCAAGTAAGTAATCACATGTTACATTATGAAACATATTTTACATATGCCAATATTTTAATTTCATTCATCTACTTTGGAATGACAAACAATGTGTTGGCCTCCCACTGATAAGACATCACATCATCATGTGACACCCGTGGCACCACTCACACGTCTGCCATTCCGGAGGACCAAGTCATATTGCGTTCATATCCTATTAGCTGCCTTTACACTACACAATCTTTCATGCGCGACTTAGCTCAATTGAGCCACAGTGTGCAACTGTGATTATTTCATTTCACTTTCTTTATAAATTGTTGTTTTTATTTCACAGTTTTGTTGTTTTCCACAGTCGAGTTTACGGTTTATAAATTATCAATAACTGTATATAATTATGTATTTGCTGAATAATCAGATGTCTGCCACTTTCCAATGATAACTAATTATTAAAAAAGTCGCCAAAGCACGCACGATTTATGGACGCGGGAATGCGCGAGCTGGCGGCGCAGTGTTTCTCGTTTTCTTTGTCTACATTTGTACTACATGAGAAATTGCATATTACGCAGGAATGAATGTGCATGTAGTATACTACTTCCTGCGTGAAATGCAATTCGCGCATGAAAGTGCATACGTTTAAAGACATCTATTATTCCACTGTCATACCTCACGCATCAACCAAAACACATTAAAAGCATTCTGATGGGAGGCTGGAATAGATGAGATCTCTATGGATATCTCAGGTACTACTCACGTTTCACTGCCAACATTTGCCAACTGGTAGTGAAACTGGCACAGCCCCGACTCGTGACTCGATCTTCACCATTATTACTCCAGGATAACACAAGTCCTCGTACTGCACAAGAAATCTTTGCAACCTTAAAGGAGCTGCAGTTAGAAACCATACGTCATCCTCCGTACTGGCCAGATCTTGCTCCAACGGACTACTGTTTTTTCGTGATTTGGACAATTTTCTAGGTCAAAAAAATTCTTCCCAGGAGGCAGTACAGAATACTGTCACAAAGTTTGTCGAATCTATTTTGGGGACTATAAAGGGAATTGTAAAGGCATAAATGAACTTTCGATTACATGTCAGCAATGTATAGCAATTTTTATGATTTATAATTTCCCAGCAGATCACCTGGGATGAGTTTTTCTATCCCCAGCAACCCTCCGGGTCCGTCTCAGAGCGTATAAGTAATATGTAATTATGAACCAATTTTGTGTACGAACTTTACATTTGCTAATATATTTTAACAAATTAGGTGTTATTTTGCGAAAGTCAATTTCATTACTTAAATAAATTACCTATGTTATTTTGTTTAATTCAATTCCGCTACCATTAGCATGTGTGAGATCACAAATATTTAGTGCGGAAACCTGACCACTGCTATTGGAAGCATTATGACATTTATTAAATCTACGCCTATGTTGCTACACGTGTTTCATCTCGTAAACGACACATCATTAGTCAATGAATAGAGTTCGGATATAGCTTGGTAACCTTATTGTTGATAGTTCGGCGTTTCGGAGTAGTAGTCGCCAAACAGTCGGTCGATAATTGTTATTGAATACGCGACATACAATACTTTATACAATTCTATATTTGAAACTGGAAAGACATAAGTTGCGGGCATTATTGATGGTAACTGCAAAGTGTATGTACCTTGTATGTACATATAGTAGGTACATGAACAGCATCACTTACATTGACTCGTTGTGTGACGCCCGTGGCTACACCTTCAACCTAAACACAGCTTACAAAAGCTGTAAGGCAGTTGGAATAGATGGGGGAGAAGCCTCCACGTAGTGGACTTTATAAACAACAGTCTACCTCTATAAAACTAGAAATTATTAAATTAAAACGCACCTAGGAACACGATATAGCTTTGCACAGCATGGTTTTAAACAAAATTAATATATAAGTTATGACTAAACTGAAAACACGTAAACGTGTGACGTGAGATAATGATGGCCTTTAAACTAGTCAACTGTTAACTATTCAGGATCCTGTACTGAACGCAGCAGTGGCAGCGGTACGGTACTTTAACGAGGTGAGCTATTCTCCTATTCCTATTGTGTTATCTCGTCCAATTTTTTATTCGATACCTATTTCATCGACAATTATTTGTATTTTTTTACCAGTAGATAGATTAATATAATTTAATTTAAACGAGTTCGTCGATATTTTGAAAATATATATAATTTTTCTATTTTATTAAAATTCGTGTATTATTTCGATATATTATTTACATCTTATACACAATTTTGAAACGAATATACAGTCGTGCACACTCACAATTGTAGGGGATTCATTTCATTTCACTTTCTCTATAAATTTTATTTTGTATTTCAGTTTTTATTTTCCAGAGACACTTTTATAAATTAACTTTATAAAGTAACAGTAACTCTATATAATTATGTATAGTCAGATGTCTGCCATTTTACAATGATAACTAATTATTAAAAAGTCGTCAAAGCTCCGAGCTGGCGGCGCGCGGTGCGGTCTTTCTCTTGTCATTGTCTTTATTTGAACTACATGAGAAATTGCATTTCACGTAATCATTTCAGTAAGTCCTTATATGACTTAAATGCAAGGTTCTGGGGTGATGTGATATACTACAGTCTCTCGATTTTGTTTCTTATTAGTATTCCACGACCAAAGTCTATAGACAGAGAAATATTATGTATAGAGAGAAATATAGATGAGCACAAAGTGTTTTGATGAAAATGGACATTATTATACACATGTCATTAAATATATATATATATGATTACCATCTAATACAAAATCATTATGTAGTAAATTATTCCTGATATTTTAAATCGAATGAGGTGAAATTAACATTGCATGTACACAACACTTGTCTGTTATACGGGTTATACCACTAAAACTTCAAACACTTCTGTTATTTTTATATTATATTCCAAATACAATATCAATACAATTATTTCATCACAATCATTTCAAAATTAATTCCTGGTACACAAAATATTCATGGACTTGTTGATGAAGCAATATAATAACAATCATGAGCTTGAATCATAAACTTATATGCAGTCGGTCACACATAATATAATAACTTGGAATTTCTTTTCATCCCCAGTCCATTGCTTTCTTTAATTTAATTGCATTGTGATTAATAATTTACAGATTTTTCTTCTGCTTTTTTCTCTTATTTTTACTTGCATTATTATTTTATACAGTAAAAAGTTAATTATATACATATATATAGTTCTTATTTTTTTGAACTCCTGTTCTTTACAGTAAATAGGTATGTTCTTTATTTTGATCTGAATGACTAGGAGATTTAGAATATTCATCTCTTATTTGTTTAAACTTTATAAAGGCATAAGTGAACTTTCGATTAGATGTCAGCAGTGTATAGCAATTTTTATTATTTATAATTCCTTTTTTCCAGATCGGCATAGCGGAATTGTCACTTGTCAAGCAACCCTCCGGGTCCGTCTCAGAGTGTGTAAGTAATATGCAATTATGAAACAATTTTGTGTAAGCACGGTATTATGAATTAAAAATATTTGTAGTAGAGATGCCATGAATACTCCTCTTGTATTCAATAGTTTTTTCTAGTCGACTACTACTTTTTAATATTCGATATTTGGCAGAATATCGAACATCAATCTTTCTGCGATACTATAGAGTTCTCGGTGATATTAATATATGAATCAAAAAAGGGTTCAGCTCTAAAACACCATTTTTAAGAATAAAATGTGGAGGTATTCAATGTACAGTTAAACATAAGAAATTCTGGTTGTTGCACTGACGTTGCCACACATTTTCATACAACATTTATTAGCAACACAGTTTGATATAATAAACAATCAACAAATCATGCATGTCGTCATATTAAACAAAGTTATCAAATTATCCAAATATACCATATAAGCAAAATACATTTTCGGTAGAGAACCTAGCTGAACATTCGGTATTAATCGGCAAAATCACTATTCGTGGTATATACATATATATATACAAATATATCATTCTACTACCCTTGTGACTGCACATTTTCTGTAATGTAATGAATTTTAATAAAACACAATTTTTTTAATAGCTTTCCGTGATATTCTGTAAAGAAGGTATTGTAATTTATAATATTTTTTTAAGTACCTTAATTCTTTGACTCGGTTTCACCAAAAAACAAGTTAGGTCCCTTTGGCGAAATTGGTTAGTTTCTTGAATTTCATCACTCGCTTTTGGCTTGGTATACCTACGTTTCAAGACTGTATTATTCTAAAGAGAATATGTAAAGACATACACATATTTACTTTAGATCAACATATGTTGATTATACAGATTTGTATAATAGTAATATGTATCATAGAAAAATCGAAACTGTTCTAAATGAAATGTAAACTCTATTTTTTATCTATCATAAACACACAGTTACATAAATTATTATATGTCCACAATATAAAAACATAATTACAGTGTGCTAGTAAAAGAGGTAACAATTGGCGCCTTTATTACTAAATAGAGACCAGACAACCTTAGGATGGTACGCCTTGTTTTTGCTTTTATCCTTTATATCTGGAGGCTCGAAGGAAGCAAACCTCACGCGCAAAACAGACAACTTGTACAGAACAGGACAGAACAATTCATACTGAACGGTGTTTAAAACCTACTTAAATGCCATAGCAAACATATTTATAAGATTCCAACTATTTATGGTTTATTAAATTTTTTTACAATTGTAGTAATCTGCTGCTTTTCAGAGTACTGCTGACTTTCAAGACGTTTATGAATTTGACGTCGTCCCTGATGAAGAACTCCAACGATTTCAGGTAATTTATACCATAAAAATATATTACTATAAAAATAAAAATATAATTCTACCGTTATCTATATATTAATATGTGAAGCAAAAACTTTGATCTCCTTTTTACGAAAATGTGCGCACGGAGAAGTATGAAATTTCGCACACATATCTTTAGTAATATTATAAATGCGAAAGGAACTCTGTCTGGTTGTATGTCTCACATTCACGGCAAAATTACTGAACCGATTTAAATGAAATTTAGTAGATACATAGTCTAGACTCTGAGGACATAGGCTATTTTTTAATGCGAAAGATGGGTTGAAAGCGGTTATGAAAGGTTGTATGGAAGTATCGTCTATTTTAAAGCTAGGCTATTAGAGAGCCTGTTATTTATTTTTTAGGCTGTTAAATAAATATAAATAAAGAAAAATGTTGTTAGTGGTTGAAAGAAGAGATGAATGATTGTGATCGAGGTTAAAACCATACCTAAAGTTAATAGTAGGAATAAACCTAACATTATTACGAATCCAGATTTAACAGAGGACTACTTAGTAGTTCATTATATGTATATTCCCCACAGATAATATACAAAATCAGTTACTCATGTCTGTCAGCTTACAATTACGTTCCGTTTTACCAAAAAACTGAAATGGTCAAAAATAATATTACTTCAAAGAAAAATGTATAAAGTAAAAATAATTTTATTTGTATATATCTGTGTCTTCATTATAACCATTTCATTGATAAATAATATTTATAACCGTACTATTAGGTTGAAAGTAAGTTTTAAATTACAAGAACGGAGAAAAGGAATGGTGATGGTGACGGAATGGTGACTATTTCAATGTCAAAATAAAAAGATTCTACGACTCCGGCGGCGTTGTGAGATATTTCATATTGCTCCGTCCGCGAAATTCATGTTAAAAAGGAGTGAAAAGTTTTTTCTTCACTTATTAATAGAATAGTATTATATTATTAGTGTTGCTCTTGTAAGTTCACATTTTCAAGTCGAAACGTGTGTACGTTTAACAACCTACCAAACTAGCACTAATTTATTAGGGTCAAATATAAATGTACAATAAGATTAAATCAGTCGTAGTGATAAGAGCAGACCAGTCCCTACAAGCAGCACTCTTTCACGAGTATGACGTATGAGCCAGCTATCACTGCGCTCGACCATATTTTAGGCCCAATACCCCAATGATAATGTAGATTAGTTTAAAACTAATGACACGCTGCAGCGCAGCAAATGATGAGGGCATTAAGCTTTCAGTAAAGGAATAATCTCTATTCAAATAAACTTATTGTTAGCCCTTTTGAATTGTCATATTTTTATTTTACCACAAGAAGAACGAGCAATAATTTGCATGTTGGTCCTTTAAATAAATGTTGTTCAGTATTACATTTTTAAGATTATTTTGAATACATACTACTAAATATAGTATAGTCATTAGTTATTTAAGTTCATTTTTACACTGTATTGTAACGTACTGTAAAAGCTTAATATTTTCAGTATAACAATGGCAAACTTTATATCCGCCCAGACATCGAGTTCCACGTTAATGTTACGGTAAAAAATATGGGAGAGAAACCAATGTACCTATGTGCATTTATTGACTCACCATACCAGACGCCGGTCCTGAAACACAATAAGACCTGCCAGAATCTTCTATCAGGCAATACTGGTTTGTATGATATTTTACAAAGTACGTCCTTCAAATATCTTTAATTTGTGGTCATAAGTCAGGTGAAGTCGTTACGAAATATACAGGGTGTAAGGGACAGATTGACAAAAACTGAAACTGTGAATTCAGACCATTATTCTGAACTGAAAACAAGTGGAAATTCATTCTGTAGTTTTTTCCCTTTTTTTCTCTAATAAATCCTGTAGGACATTTTATCATAATATAAAGAAATAATAATATTTTATAATGAAATATTATAAAATATCAAAAAGCAGCAATGTAATTCGTTTTAAAATTGTACCGATACGCGCGAATCAGCTGTGTTATGAACTTATGAGTCAAGGTCAACGGCATAAGCGTACGAAAAATGTGTTTTGCCGTACTATAAAAAAACTTTTTCGATTTTATGTTGAAATGAGATTAGGTTTTTACTGTTTTTGTTTTGTATTCTTAATTGTGAATACTTTATTATTATTATTATTAATGGAACGTCAGCCAGCACGTAATGGACTATTTACTGCACGCGAATATGGACAAATAGATGAACAGCCGCTATCCAGGCACCATGTAATTTCACTAGTGTGTTCTACTAGTAGTTCTACGGTACTAAGGTTGCCGCCTTTCTTCTTTCCCCAACTTCTTCGGTGGCGTGGCTCTTTTTGCTACAATTCTTCTAGTATTTTTACCTTAAGATCTTCGGGGTTCAGTAATGAATCTCGTGACTCTGGCTATTCCGAAGTCATCAAATGTTCCTGGTAGACTATACAGTAACATAATGCTGAGTAACTCTGAAGGTATTTTAATCTCCATGTCAGCGAGTTTAACAACGATGTCCATGAAATTATTTATGTGATCGCGAATATCTTCTTCAAAACTCATACGCTTTAGAACTAATTGTTTCAGCAAGGTCTCCTTTCTTGCTGGTCCGGCATAATCTGGTATTGATTATAATTCGTCACAAAGAGATATTGATTTTAATTTCAGCACTGGGTGACAATGTTTTTGCGCCACTTACGATATCCCAATAATCATTTTTGATCAATGCGGCCTGCGCAAGTAGGCTCCATGTATCGTAATTTCCTTTATTTAATGGTTCTATTATATATTTCTGAAACTCGACGTAGATGCCATTTTATTGTTAACCACGCTCTGCTACCAGTTCGTGAGGGTTTTTGGCTAGAAAATGTAAGTTGAATGAAAACTTTATTTGACATATGTCTACAAAGTAATCTAATAAGAATAATAGAACACAGGCAACAAACAAACAACCGTGCCAGTACTAACAATTTCTGGCAATTTCAAAACTTCCGGTATGCTACCGGTGTATAGAAGGTTGGTCATTAGGCCAAGGACTGCACTAAGAAAATTTCAGGTAAAGATAAGCGACCAAAGTCGACTGCAAATTTTTAAAAATTACTCGAGGACATTGGTTTATATGTTATGTCAGTGGCGAACGAAGAAAAAATAAACAGTGCCGAGGTGATATTTTTGTTAAGAATGGTATAAAAACTATGTAATGTGTTTTATATTCCTACCTTGTCATATAATTTAATATCTGTCTATGCTTTTGTTGACAATTGTGAAATAATTAGATACTTATGTACTTATTTAATAATTTATTTGAACAAAAAGACGACATCTTTTATTGCCTTAACAAAAGCCGGAAGTAGGTCAAGGTGAAAGAAAGAATCATAGATAATAAAAAAAAAAACAGAAAACACAAAAGTTGTACAGAGTAAGTTACTTTAAAGATAGAGATAGATAAGTTACTTTGAAGATAGAGAGATATTCTAACAGCTTTCACACAACGTGAATATCACGTAATGTTTTAATTTGAAATATCTAAAACATACACATCCCGCAAAAATTAAGGGAACACAAAAAAAAATCTGACTGTGACACCTTAAACTTCTTGTGAGGTGCTGTGCTGTGCTTTTTACGCCACGACATGGAGTCTCGTTTCGATTCGGTTTATAATGATTTTACCACTCCCAACACACCTAAGTTTCGACTCCAACTCCAGTAACAATTCGATACTACAATACACCATCCTTATCTTCATTACAGAGGTCCAAAAATACATGTGAACACTTTACGCGCTGTTGTTTTGCGGCAATGTGAGCATTCAAGGTACCCATTTTGCGCTGAACTTTGTCATGCCAAGATGATCGTACAGGATTTTAAAAATGGTTGTATCAGATACTCCAACCATTTCTGCGAGTTGTTTCTTCTTTAGGCGAGCACATTATACAAAAAGTATTATATAAAAAGTTGAAATAATTGTATTCGACGAATACAATTTTTTCAACTATTTGTATAAGTTCTGGCGTGGTCTCCTCGATGTTCCTGCCCGCCCTCGAGTTGTCTTCAAGTGATGCCCTTTCCTTGTTTTAATAAACTGTTCCACTTGTACAACATAGTTTTTCCTGGGCAAGAGTTGCCGTAAACCAATGACATCTCATTCATTATGGTTTCAACTGATTTTCCTTGCTTGGTAAGGAATTTTATAACGGCATGATATTAGATTTTTTCCATATTTCCCTTTCCCCTCCGGATTATGTTGGTTGACGACAACTCGAAGACTAATAGTCTAATAACAATGAAACCTCGTATTTATACTAATTATGAGTCACTGAATACGTTACGATTCCAACGAGTCTAATCACCCCCCTACAACTCTCTCATTTCGCGAACTTAAAAACGCACCCATGTACTTTCTGGTTCACTCATCAAAATTTGTAATGAAGAATGTTAACTAATTTTTAATATTAGCTCTCCATATTCTCTGTCAAAAATAAAAAATATAAGTGAAAGAATTACTTCAATACGTCAATTAGTTTCTGATTTATAGAAGTAAGTAGTAAGTAATCATGTGTTGTGCCGAAACGTACAAATACAACCACCAAAGTAATAGTTATTTTTATAATAATCACAAAAAAATCCAACAAATTTGATAACAGTCACCACATTAAAAATGCTATAGTACGTTTACAGCCTCTGTTGGCGGCACAATCTTCGTAAGTTACATTTAAAACTTCGTGGTTTTAAATGTACTGCTCTTTTTACTTGTATGTAACCGATAGCATCATCACCAAAGCCGTCTCTTGCCGACTTGGAATAAGTTACAAATAAAAATAAATAAAACATTATAATATTAATAAGACAAATGAAAATTAAAAAAGGTTTAGTACATCTGTTCAACCCACTACATTTGCAATAAATCAATATATGTGTTTAGTTAAATTTACTAAAAGAAGTACCTATATTCACATATGTACATACGTAGGTACCTATAGACATAAAACTAACACACATTTGTTCTCTATAACGTAAAATTTAAAAGGTTTAGTACTTCTGCCTATTTGAATTGCAATACGATATCAGTTGGGTATTTTTTTTAACAAAACACTTTAAAACAGATAAATAATTTTCTAAATAGCAAGAAAAGTTAACTTACTTTTATATTCCTTGCATTTCGGCGGCAACGAAATCACTAGGTATTTGTTGATAAACAATGGGCAACCATTAGTGCATCTATTTTAAGCAGATCATCCAATTGCCCTTTTTCGATTCCTACATCCATTTCATTATGAAAATGAAACAAAATACTGCACAAACTCGGCGACTCGCTACTAAGCGGAGCGGACTGTTGTAAAAATGACGTCACATGTCACGTGACTGTTAGCGGGACTCGAAATTTATCGTAAGTTTAAATGCCTATAAAATCAAAACTAATAGGTATTTTTGACTAAAACAAAAACTAATATATTTGTATACACTTTCAGTGTCACTACTATTAAACTTTCAGCCGATTTGGCATACCTATTAACATCCTTCATTTACCAAATAATATTGGGCTTATCGACTACCGATTGGATGTTTGCTCTCAACATAGTAGCTAAGAAATATCGAAGCCGCTTCCTGTTTTGCTTAGTTCAGAAAGCACGACAGACTGACAGACTGAGGTACTTTCGCATTTATAATGACACTAAAGGTCAGAATGAAAATGTACGTTCGATTGAAATATTTTTAATATTGCAGAACAAATGCTAAGTTTACATTCCTGCGATACCAATACTGAGAGCGTTCACAATGATGACACTGGATCGATGAATGCCATATTAAGACATGTTTCCACCAAATTGGAACCTAGTAAAATTAAACCGTTTTATGGATACAATATTGTATATGAGAATAATACATGCAAATCGGGGTGTGGAATAAAACATTGGAATATTCAAGTCATCTTTATGCTAAAAGACGAGGAGTAAGCAATAATTATTTTTACACTAATCGTGCCTGCGAATTCAGGTTATAAGTTACAAATATATATTTATAGAGGCCACCTGTCGATGATAACCAAACACAACAATAAATAAAACAATATCATTCCGCCATATTATTTTAATCCGTCCTGCCTACGGTCTCGGTGGTCTAGCGGTTTAGCACACCGCCATGGTCGAGTGTTCGATTCCTCGCACAGTACAAACATTGTATTCATGAGTATGATGGTTTGTATCGGTCTGGGTGTTTTATATTATTATGGATATACTCGTATTTACAAAAGTATTTAAGTATCAGTATCAGTTGCCTATTAGTATCCATAACACAAGCTCTACTTAGATTGGGAATACCCATAACAATAATTTATAATTAATAAACTATTAATATTTTCAATAAATATTCATTACTTAAAAAAGTACAATGACGATGTTTTATTGATAAAAATGATATACATATGTTTTATCAGTGTAATGTTTTGTCAACAGAGGTTATGTAGTGGGTCAAAAAAAATTGCAAGTAGTATTGACCTCTAAACCGCGCAATGCTATACTACACGCCATTAATAACAATGGTAACAATGGATCACAATCTACTGAAGGAAGTGGTCAAACAAAGACAGTTAAAAACAAAAGGAAAATTGTTGAGTCCAAACAAGACATGGAGGACTCCAATGATTCAGATATACCCCTAGCTGTATTAAGAAAAAAGAAGAAGGAAGATAACAATAACCAGATCTACATAGTGCCTTCGGTATGTACCTGCCCGTCACCTTAAGATTGTGAAATCCTATAGTTTATAATCTATCTAATATTGAAGGCCTCTAGCACGCCTCATTTCTTCCGATGGTCGCGGGTTCGATTCCTCGCACTGTATACGTGACATTTGTATACGTGAGTATGATTGTTTGTATCGGTCTTGGTATTTTCTATGTATAATATATATGTATTTAAGAAAATGTATGTATAATAAGTATATATAGTGTTTAGTACCCATAACCAGAAGCCATATTTAGCTCGGTTCTAGATGGCGTCGTGTGAGTTGTCCAGATATATTATTATTATTTTCTAACGAGGTTGTGATCAATCAGTAAATTTTGAACAGTACAATATTGCTTATAATACAACCCGCAACATCAGCACTATTAGAGGTGAGTTGTCTGGTTTTATCTCTTCTATCCTATTCATTGCCCTCTAAGTGACTGAACAGATTTATGAGGCCCATAGTTAGCAACCCATCTCTGTGCCGTAAGTCATCACCGGCATCACACTTTGGTCGTAAACCTTCGTCTTGAGACTGTGGTAATTTAGACGAAAATATATATTGGAACTTTTTTTTATACTTCTATGGTGGCAAACAAGCATACGGCCCATCCGATGGTTCTTCTTCCCGAACGCTGACCATCCGAGTTGGATTCGACCGAATGAACATTTAAATGTAGACAAAGTGAACGAAAATGTTAGCGCACCGCCAGTTTAGACATTCCCACGTCTTTGACTCTTACGAGAGCCATTATTTTTTCAGACTTAATTATGTCAAAATGTCGGACATCTGATTATGGAGAAAAGATTTTTTTTTAATTTATTTATTGAAACCTTCATCAGTGTACAGTTTGATGCAGTCCTGACTCCCAAACTAGCGTGAGCTGTATATCAGTTTTTAAAAGAAAGTAAAAACCATGAAATATACTCGCTGCCGCTCGCGAAAGAGTGAACACAATAAAAATAGTAAAACGCAGTCGCTCACGATTGCGTGCGCTGGCTTTCCCGCACTGAATCGCGCGCGTGAAAGAATCTGTCATGTAACGGGCAGTTTATGACAGCGTATAGTTGACTAATAACAACGACCGAATGGTAAAATATAATACTATACGTCTTCAGAGCACCGGCGTTAAACGTTGCGTTTCACATCGTCAGTCGAGGTTTGAAAAGTCCATCTCCCCACCACTTCCTAAAAATCGCCGGCAACTCACCTGCAATTCCCGTGGCGCTCATGGGCGGCAGTGATCTTACCATCATGTGCCAAGAACGTTTTGCCCTCTATGCTACAAAAATGACTCTTTAACTGACTTTATACGACATGGTCATTCACGCTAGAAAGAGACCAGCTGCGGCCAACAACATTAGAATATTTCGAAAACAAGAACTTATGTCGTCATGTGACATCATTCCTCGTACATTGTTATTGCCGGAGAAATAAGATTTCACTTCGGTAAGCTGTTTTTTATTGTTACATTTTCCCATCAAACCCAAACAGCTTGCAAAAGCTAAGTGCTTGGGGGTTGAAAGCGATGAGACAAAAGTACGTTTAACGACTCGGTTTATATATGGTATGTGTTTTATATATACGATCTAAGTATTTAATTCATATATATTTATAGCTGAATACATATGAATACATATACATTATGTTTACTATGTGAATGGCTGTGCGACTGTACGTGTATTTGTTGTTTACATATATTTTGCTTTTTGTATTATGTACTAAAAGTGTGAATTATTTTGTTTACAGATTTATGTCAAAAACCGATTATTGTTTCATAAACTGATTAAGACGAATATCAACGAGATAAAATCGCACTTAGCTCAAAATAACGAAGAAGATGCTGAACATTTAAATGCGAACATTGCTGTGCTGGAACACGGGCTCAGTTCAGTTTAGGCAAGTATATTAATAATATCTTATATTAACCCGGAACAATTCACATAGAGCCTTCTAGTTCCAAACTATGCAGACCATGTGTTAAAGGTACTAGATAACCGGTATAAATATTTAAATATTTTTATGTATCTCAATATATATTTTTTTCTATATTTTAATCGACGATCAGTCGCAAGACTTTAAGTTGTCAACATATCTCCTTATAGCTACTTGATTTGTAAGCGAAAACCTCTTCTGCCTTTCTACAATATCTTGACTATGTGAGAAGGCTCCAAGAACTGTACTGCCGATGGATTAGGATGGTTAGAGAGTCGAGTTCAAGAAGCATGGTGCATTTGCTATAGTTACGCAGAATACCATTTTGTATTCTTTGTAGACACATGAGGTTGCTATTGCTGGCCGTGGCCCACAGATTGGTATCAGAACAGACTTATATACTCGGGAGTTTATTATCCATAAAGTGCACCGAATTCCTTCCCATGAGTCAGCTCGACTGGATTTGAGGTTCATCTCATTTCTTTTCTTTTTTTATATGATACTAGCTACTCGCCCGATTTCGCACGGGTGTACATGTATTATATATATATATATATAAACCTTCCTCTAGAATCACTCTATCTATTAAAAAAAAACTGCTTCAAAATCCGTTGCGTAGTTTTAAAGATTTAAGCATATATAGAGACAGACAGCGACAGCGACATTATTTTATACTATGTAATAATGATTTCCAAGTGAGTCTCTTGTCCAGATGAAAGCCAAGGTATTTCATGCAATCGATCTCGGGTTTCTCTTCATTACTAAATCTGACATATAGATGGGTGAAAGTATGAAACTTTGCGTGTTTATGTGAAAATATGCTTTGATTTTTGCACCATTTTGTCATCCATATATTGGATTTATCCAATATATATTAGAGTTTTCTGCTAGCCCTCTCTGTCTGTCTGGTTTGTTATCACTAGCGAGGTAGGCTATATCATCAGTGTAAGTTGTGATAGTAATATCTTCTGAGATGGGTAGGTCTGACGTAACTATACTGTACAGCTATGGACCCAGTACTGAGCCCTGTGGTACTGGTTTATTTATAATTTTTGATTTTTATTTCTCTTTCAAATTACACTCCACATAAACTGCGTTATTGTATTTCCACAAAAAAAAAATGCTGTTACTGTTTGCGAGAATTGGCTTAACATTTAATATTCTGTATTTATAATGTAATTTAATTGTAAATCACTTGAGATTTATAATTTGCATGCCTCCTGAATATGAGGCGAACATTTGTAGCATGACACTGTAAATGTTCAAGCAAATAAATTATCTATCTATCTATCGCGTCGGATCATCTCGATTGCCTTGAATAGAAGAAAGGCGGCGCCCTTTCTCCTTCTCATATATCCTATGCATATTGGTGGGGCCACGTATAATTTTAGAGTAATCATTTTACCATTTAGTCAAATGATTACTTTACATTTGTATATTTAAACTAACACTAATCTAACTAACTAAGCACTTTCATATTCATTATTTTATTTTATTCTACCACTCATTTGGAACGCAGACGTATTTTCAATATTAGTATGAATCATACTACCGTTTCATTTCGTCGAATAAAATATGCTGTTTAATTAAAATCTGTTTTTCTAATATAAGAAATCTTATTGTATAATTAACATGTAGTTAGGTACATAATAGGTGGGTAGGATTAAATTTTTTCTCTCCTCTTCCTCCCGCCCTTCATAGCTATTATCTAAACACCCATAAAAGTGACAAGCCCCTGCAATTAATGATACAGGGGCACCAGGAGGAAGGGAAAACATATAGTTTAGTATTATAATTATAATTTTGTAAAATACAAGTATGCTATATATAGGCTACCTCTTTCATACGACAGTAATTCTTTGTCGTGATCGAATAATCCAAATGCAGTCTATATAGGAGTTTAGCTTCAAAAATAATAATAAACCTCAACAAAAAAGATACTTTCAAATATGGCTTTAGCCCTTTGCCCCAGCGGCATAGTTCCGGGGCAAAGGGGTTCGCCCTTCGGGGACACCTCCACTCTCGAATAGTGAACAATACTGGCAGTAATTTTTTATGTCTATTTGTAATGGACGAACTCAAAACATAAACGATTTCAATATTCTTTCACCTATAGGTATATGGAAATATTGCCGATTTATGAACAACGCACGAATAATCCACTCAAACAGCGCCGCGTGATGACGTTTGTCATTTATAAATATTCAAAGTTGTTTTTGAAATTTTACAGATAACGCGGACGTTGCAGCACCTCAGTAATCGGCGGTCTAGTAGTAATTAATAATATTAAGTCCTTACATATGAAATTGGCGTTTTGTCGTACTGGCCACTTTGATCCATCTTTGATTTTTTCTTTGCGTCACTCAGTTTACAAAATGGAAAACTTAAAATATCTCGTTATTTATGAATACGAGTTCCGCCATAGCAGCAGTGCTACAGAAACGGCTCGAAAGATTAATGATATGTATGGCGGTGATGTCACAAAAGAAAACACTGCCTTTTTGGTTCTGGAAATTTCGACCTGCAAAACAAGTCCTGTGGGCGGCTGGAGTCCAAGCTTGAAGAATTGAAGGCTATTGTGGAAGCGGATCCTTCGCAAATAGAGCAAAAGTCCACGACGGTCAGACATACGTCTTATTAGTAAATGTGAAAGTTCTTGTGTTTCATTAATAAAGTTGTGGTAATTAGCGAGTATTGGCAATGGTAGTCTACTAGTGTATTGTGGTAGTATATATTACAGTTATTGTTTATAACAAACTGGCTTTTCCTGCCACGTGTCTAAAACAGAAAGTGAACTTTTTAGCTTCTACACTAAAGTTCAAATAGAGAGATTTTATTGTAATATTAGGTCCGGTCCGAATTTGACGTTTTGTAAGGGAGTAACCTAAAGTCGATTTTTTAACAACTCGGACGTGGTTTTAGCCCAAGAACCCACGACGGCCAGACACGTCTTATTAGTAAATGTGAAAGTTCTTGTGTGTGTGTCCCCAACACAGGTAAGAACGATCCGCAAACCTATGTGAAACCTGTATCGTGGTTCCTTTGGCGGGTAACAGGTAACAAAGGTGTAAATATTTTCATATAAAATTCGTTATTTTAAGAAACACCTTTTTTCCTTTTATTTATTTTATTTCATGCCAGACATTTAGTATGGTTCCAACCCCCTGCCGGACCGCCCTAAACTATATTATTTTATGAATAAACTTACGTTATTTTTATAAACTTGCGTGCACAGCGCTAGTCCCACGATAAGCAGAGCTTGTGTAGTACTCATAACACAAGCTCTGCTTAAGACAACTGATATAAATACTTAGATTATTAAATTTGTAAATACATACATAATGTACATAGAAAACACCCAGACCGATACAAACAATCATACTCATAAATACAATTTAGGAAACACAGTTTAATAGTTCTCTGAATAATATATATAAATTTCAGCTTTATTAAAATAACGTAAGTTTATTCATAAAATAATATAGTTTAGAGGGTTCCGGCGGGGGGTTGGAACCATACTAAGTGTCTGGCAATGAGCAGCGCAAGTTATAATACTGCTACGAACAATATATGAAAAAAAGGTGTTTCAAATAACGAATAAAAAAACAAATAAACAAAATAACGAATTTTATATGAAAATATTTACACCTTTGTTACCTGTTACCTGCCAAAGGAACCACGATACAGGTTTCACGTTTGGGGATCGTTCTTACCTGTGTTGGGGACACACACACAAGAACTTTCACATTTACTAATAAAACGTATGTCTGGCCGTCGTGGGTTCTTGGGCTAAAACCACGTCCGAGTTGTTAAAAAATCGACTTTAGGTTACTCCCTTACAAAACGTCAAATTCGGACCGGACCTAATATTACAATAATATCTCTCTATTTGAACTTTAGTGTAGAAGCTAAAAAGTCCACTTTCTGTTTTAGACACGTGGCAGGAAAAGCCAGTTTGTTATAAACAATAACTGTAATATATACTACCACAATACACTAGTAGACTACCATTGCCAATACTCGCTAATTACCACAACTTTATTAATGAAACTGACGCGGCGCGTAGAGGAATTTCTTTCGGACCACCTTCGACCCTTGACAGGGGGAGACTTCATCTCTTATGCAGAGGTGCGGAAGGCCGTGCAGCGCCTCTCTAAGAGAAACTCCCATTCCGGGCGGGAACCGACCTGATGCGGCTGCCTCGTAGATATCTGATAGCACTTACCAGGCTCTACAATGGGATACTCTGAAACCTGAAAACTGGGCCGGGTCATCGTCCTTCCAAAACCAGGGAAATATAGACGTCTTCCCGGAAGCTACCGCCCCATCGATTGAAACATCGGTTGATCTATCGTCGGCGTCTTTTTAGTCATACGAAGGCGTTCGACCGGGTTTTGACAGGCGGTCTACTCTTCAAGCTTCTTGAGAACACCAGCACGCCGCCCGACTACGTGCGTTCACTGGTGTCGTATCTAGGGAGCTGTAGCTTCTATGTTTTGACCCCTGCATGGTATGCACTGTGCTGTCCAACTCTCAGGCTCTGGTCCCGCTCCCAGCAGAATGTCACTCTTCGCTTGTGCACGAGAGTGGCGCGATATATCCGGTATGACATGTTGCGCGCGATCTTAAGATAACTCTCGGTGGATGATTTTGTGAGGAGCATGGAGCGGCGCTTGTCCAGCCGCGCCTTCAATTCTCCTCACCACCTGAGGGGGATCGCGCTGCATCACGCATCGCATCATGCGCGACCTCCGGACTGTCGCTCTGTCGTTCTTCAAGTGCGACGACGTGGTGCTACCCTATATCCTCCTCCATTTTTCTTAATTGATTTCTTCTCCTCTCAACCTTCCCTCTCGCCCCGCGTTTGTCAGTAGTCAATGCCACACAGAGGTTGAACCTCTCCGTGAATACGGTAGACGCCTAGTAGCTTAAGTTAATATGTAAGTGCTATACTTGGAGGACTA